CGCGGCAGCGGACGAGCCGCCGCTCCGCGCGCGAGATCGCGCGCGACGCCTGCAGCCCGTCCTCCATGTGGGCGACCTGGCGCAGGCACAGGGCGTCCAGCAGCCGCTCGCGCGCGCAGCCCGCGAGGTCGAGCTGGCCGATGCGCCAGACCAGCACGGGCGAGCCGTCGCGCGCGAGCGTCGGCGCGCGGATCGCGTGGCCGTGCTTGAGCGCCAGCGCCGCGCGCGCCGACGCGCACCGCGTCGGGTCGCGGAACATGGCCCAGGTCCAGTCGCTCCGTTGCGCGTCGAGCGGCGCGCGCGCGTCGCCGAACGCGCCGATCTCTCCGAGCGCCGCGGGGATGTGCAGCCGCCGCCAGGCGTGCGTGTCGCGCCACATGGCCGCGGCGTCGCCGACCTTGCCCTCGCGCGCGCGCAAAAACCGCAGCAGCGTCGACGCGTCCCGCAGCGCCTCATCACCGTAGCGCGCAAAGTCCTCGGCCAGCGTCTCGGCGAGCAGCGCCACCTGCGGCGCCTCGTCCGCCGGCACGCCCTGAGCTTCAAACTCCTCGGCACCCGGGGCTTCTGCAAACGTCGCCATGGCTACCGCAAAGGAGCCGGAGCTGACGAGGCAAGAAAATGCGGGCCGCCGCGTCGCAGACGAGACAACCTCTCCACAGCTGACTTCAGCGAGTCGTCGGAGAGGTCACGGTGCAGCGATGATGCACTTCGCGCATTATTATTATTATTATTTGTTATTTTACGCCGGCGAATTCGGAGAAGGCGACGGTTCCTTCACGGAGGTCGCGGAGCGAGGCTGCTCCAAGCACACGAAGAAGAAGCGGTGCAACCGCAAGCGCAAGTGCGTGTGGATCGGCGGCTCGCACGAGTGCCTCGCGGACTGCGAGGTCCTCACCAAGGAATCGCGGTGCCGCAAGAAGCGGAATTGCGTCTACAAGAGCGGCGCGTGCCGGTTCAAGCACGCCTGCGCCTACAAGATCTCGCACGGCAAGTGCAAGAAGGCCTCGAAGTGCCGCGTGAAGAAATTCGCGGGCGCCGAGAAGTTCGACGCGCACGGCCAGAAGATGTGGCTCTGCGAGCAGAACTAGGCGGCGCGCCCCTCGTACCTCGCCAAA